ACTTCACCCCTAACTATACCCTGGGTAGGGGCGTGGTGGGGGAGGGAAATAGGGTCGATTTTCGGGGGTTAGGAAGCCTCTTATCGGGCCTTAGGGTTAGCGAAGGGTCGGTTTGTTGACTTAAAGGCTTAACTCGAGTGGATTAGTAGAGATAAGCCGAAAAGTCAATAACACTCGAGATATCTATACGGGTACCTATGTAGTAACGGAAACCTTATTTACTATTATAGAAATCCAAGATGCTTGAGCTTAGCGGATATTTAAAGTACTTGGTTGATGTACAATATCGCTACCTTCTCATTTTCTGATAGTGGTACTTGATTTCAAAGAATGAAATATAATGCTTGATTATATGGATTGTACCAATGCACACAATAAATCTTGAATAAAACTCCCTATGTCTATTGAAATATTGCTAATATGAAAGATCTGAAGATGATAACTTTGAACTAAAAAAACTCAGAAGAATTATGCCGTCATTTGAGAGAAAATGCTTTCAAGTATGATAACATGTTTTATCTAAAATAATTTTACGTTTTGACATAACTACACTGGAGCTTCAGTCAATTACGGTTAAGATTGCACTTCTAACCCATTCCGTTTACGTAACAAAATTGACGTAAGGGGGTATAAAATCGACGATTCTGTTGTTTTATGAACTATTTGTTCGCAAACATGTACATTTTCTGTACGTTTGTGATAAAAATGTCGTGGGCATTCTGCCTACAACTCACGAAATAAAAATGTCGGAAGGTTACCCTGCGTGCAGAGTCTAGTTAAACTACACTCTGCCTAGTAGAGACCATATTACAGTTTATTAGCCCCGCCCCCACGACGGGTACCGGTGACAGTTTGGGTAATCACTTTTGACATACGCGCTTACCTTCCACCAGTCAGCGAGCTTGAAGAAACATACGCCAAATGCGTTCTAATTAAATATGTGCATGTCATTGGTCAATTCCGGGCTCAACGATGACGTCAGAAGAAATGACCATATAAAGAACGTCGGTCAAATTTGGCCGACGATCACTGATTGGCGCGGTGAGTTCACAGGTTTATTTTAGTTTGAAAGAGTGAAGACGAAGCTCTCTTTTAAGAAGTGAAGTCAAACGAATGCAAAGGGTATCGGAAGGTACGATTTCAAAGTTCTTTAGGTTCCAGCGTAATCGAGTGGAGCACCAGTGTACTATAGGCCTATAGTAGTCTTGCCAAAATGGAATTTAGCTCAGGTAGGACAAAGAGAGGGAGAAATCCCAGGGTTCAATGATGACCTACTGTTATTTCACAACAAGTCAAAGAAAGATGTAAGGAATATGCTTAATATAAGGAATCGATTAAAACATCACAACGATGTGTTATATTCGAAAACTAACTGGTGAGAATTTGCGCACACGATCGGAAGGTGGTACGCAAGAGACGTATTGATGTCTGTTATCGCTAAAGCTCTGGAGGTTTCTCTCCTCTTGGTAGGACATTTTACTAATTGAAAAGTAGACTTTTATGTAGCCTTGCTTCCATGTAAGTCGATGTCTTTTTTATTTGTTTTTGACTTTTGATAAGAAAATACCGACAAGTTAATATTATTTATGAGAGAGCTACGCATTTACTACTGTACAGTGTACAGGTAGGCGTAGCTTTGCAACTGAAAAATCTGTTAATTCAATCAAGTCGTTTTACAAGAAGAGGATAAACCACTTCAATATCTCTTAGAATCCAGGTGTTAAAATTAACCTTACTAGGAGGAGTAAACTACTCGAAGACCTCTCGGGATCCTTCATTAAATCAAAGCTTTTATCGGGTTAGATTTACAAGAGACTCATTGATACAGACACGAAAGGTGAAGATCTAAGTGGTGCACTTTTACATCCTCCCCTTAATCCTGGTTCACCACGTTTCTATTTCATAGGATTGATTTAGATCTGAGAGGTTATTAACGAGAGAGCTGTTAAAGATGGTGATCAGTGGAAATCAAATTACATATATCGTGCGTTTACAATTATTTTAAGGTACAAAATAAGGTCAGCCCTTTCTATTCCAGGGAAAGCAAAACTTCAGTTCTTTCACTGGTCCCCACCTGGTTATGAAGACGTTACCTCTACTGGATGATCTTCCGTCGGAGGAAATTTTTTATCATTTTCTCCAAAAAGGAGGTCGATTAATGTATCCCGGTAACTAAAATGCGAGTCCGTCACGAGCACCTACTATGTCCAGCAGCTCAAATAATCGAGTGAGAATTCCTCACTTCAGCAACCAGGACGTTATCTGATGAATTTCATAACGTCTTGGTTGCGTTGTGTAATAGCCTATTCCTGATTGCTCAGAAGACGTGAGTAATTCTCATTTGATTAAGAGCCCTTGGGTACTCGTCACTGATTCGCTTTTCAGTATAGTAACCGGATATTACTCATAACATAGGGCCTATGGGTAAAATATTTGGATACAAATCGACCTCCTTCTTTGTAATAAAGATGTAAGTAAAGACGTAAAGACGTAAGTACGTCTTTATAACCAGATGGGGAACAGTGCTTTTGCGAGGTAATTTTTAGAATGACAAGACCTTGTTGTCCTATAGCCTGCTCGCTAGAAGAGTTGACGTAAGGCGAAGAAGCAATACCCCGAGCAATACTGACAAACGACCTGTAACACTGTATAAGCGGATCTTTTTTATTATTTTATTCAGTTTATTTTATTACAAATTATATCAAAATACATACATATAGCGGCTGTACTAACAGTATTAATAGCCACGTTTAATACAAAAAGGTACATATAATTTGGTCACTTTTGCAGACGATCATCAATGAGAATCATGAGTGAGAATTAGGATTAACTTTTAATTAAATAATTAAGTGGATTAACAATGTATTTTCGGTAGTACTGTAAGCAGTATCGCAGTTACAGTTTAGATGTGAGGCGAAACCCGGTGTAAAAGGGTAGAAGGTCCTATCAAATTATGGTCCTACTATTCATTGATTTATATGGTGACCTCTTTCTCTTATTATCTTATACACAACCAGGGCCAGAAAGGGCTGTTAAGAAAGGGGACCATAATCCCTGGGGGACCATAATTTCTTTCACACCGGTAGATTTGTATTGATCAATATGGGTATAAAAATATTATCTTCGCTCGCATAAAATCGTCTCTGAATATCATAAAATTCAAAAAGTATTTATCTTATAATAAATAGTTTTTAAATGGAATCCCTCTTTATTCCGCTCACTCAGAAGACCATTTGATCGAAAGTTTAGAAGCGCAGCGTGTTGTGATTGCCATTGTTTATAATTAGTCATTCAAATACAAAATACTTGAAATAAGAAAATAGAAAATAGGATTATTACAACCTGTAGCCGGCGTGTTCATCCAAGTAAAATGTTATAACAACTATTAAATTTTTGTGGAGTTTTGACACCTAAGCAGAGTAGCCTCGTGGCGTATACGGACTACTTTGCGGTCGAGCGTACCGGAGGGATACGGAGGTCCCGCGTTCGAGCCCCAGGTACGGAGTTTTTGATCATTGCACTACAGGACACCCGGTCCGAAGGTCCAACCGTATACCTGCCCTTGGCTTGGGTTGGTTCTCTGACCGCTCTTGTCAGAGACAAATTGTGAGACTGTGGTTGGTTCCCTCCACTGACGTGCATTAGTAGACCCCGGGAGTCATACAGTATGGTAGCGGGTCCCCACCAAGGGCAGTAGTGGAACGACACGAATCGGTCCCAGTATGGTTGCCCTGCAACTGAAGAGACTCGAGGAAATCATGCCATTCGCGGCGACCCAGAAAAGGCTTTTGCTTCTTGATACAATCGTATTTTTATTTTATTTATTTATTCAAAATGAAACAAACTAATAGAATGTGTCCTTAGATCATAGTCTCATAGAATGTAAACGTAAAACTATCGTTAGGCATATCACATATAGAGAGGGGTTTGACTTGATTTATATTATGAGAGCTGGATGACCTGTATGGATCGTGAACTTATATTTGGTGAGGGAATGTTTTGTTTCGGCGCGTTCAACCCGAATCCACCCCTGAAATCTATTGTCCAAATTACATTTTATTTCGCAACAGTAACCTCCATTAAAATGACTATACTCGTACAGTACATAGACATAATGTACTTAACGTGTTGTTGTAGTTTGATATACATTTAGAAAATATAAGAATACATTTTGTAGATGGCCATCATACAATATGATATTTTTACATGTTCAGAAAGCGCGTTGAAGTTGGCTACGTTTGACAAAATTACCCCCAAAATATATGTACATAAAGTAAGTCTGTGTAGAGAACAATGAAGTCATAAATTGCATTTAAAAAATAGTGTTCGTTGATCCAGTTGTTACGATATCACGGTGGCCAAAGGTAACGCGGTCCAGTCCCATGGCTTACTAATATGCTTATTCAAAACAAAAAATCCTAATTTGTTTCGACTGTAGTGGCATCACTCTGGACAGCATGCCTAGTCTGGACCCCGGGGTCTGGACCGGGTCACCCATAGCCGTCCTCCATGTGACTTACCCAAGAATTAGCTTCTCTTGTGTACGAACACTGAATGTATCGATATGATTTTATGTGGAACATAATATTGTTGTTTTATACGAGTATCAGTATCATTATGATTCTTCACAGTCGTACGAAAAACATTGATGGATCAAAATGGTTGTCCTCAATAGTCTGCATGATCAGAAAGTCTCTAAAATATACCTTGATAACCAAGTGGATGGATTCATTTAGATTTGTCATCAATGTGGTCCAATATTTTGTTTTTTTTCAGTACGGGATTTTGAGCCAATCCCTTTCATTTTGATTGTCACCAGGCATTTAAATATTTGTTAATTGTAGTGTAGTACTTGAGTAAAACACTTTCTTTTAAAACAATGCTTTTACGTTTAACTAATAACATACCAATTATTTATCATGGCATGTTTGTGCAATAGCCTTACTTGACGATATCCAAAACACAGAAATTATAAATCATTTTTGTTCATTGTCATTCTCTTAATTAACACAGAAAGAAATGGAAGAAATGCTCAGATTTTTCTATAAAAAGTTATGGATATTAAATATACTTTTTGCAATTTATTTAATTTTTTATCTCGATGGACGTCCCAGCATTGGAGTAGCAGGTAAGCAAAAATAATTTGCTGCGAATTAATCACACAATATGATATGTTTTGAAGATAGTGTATGTCGTGCAAGTTTTCAGTTTAGCTCCAAGTATCTTACTAAATTTTCAATTCAATTTTTCAGTTCAATTTATTAAATTAAAAATCAATCATACAATGTTTCATACAATACATGAAAGAGACACCCCACGGGGCGTATACATATTATGGCTCATTAGATTTTCAACAATCATGTTTTACTTATAAAAATGAACTTGTTAAGAATATACATCAGAAAATCAGCCACAGAAACCGAACTCCTGTGCATATCATGATCCTGTAAATCAGTTGTAGTAACCTCATCACGTTCATTGCATTAGGTCAGAACGGGACTGCTGTCAACCTCACGTGTACCAATGACACGTGTCTAAATGAGGGGAATTGCACAACAGATGGAGGAAATGGAACGTTAATACAATGTTCTTGCAGATCCGGGTGGACTGGAGAAAGGTGTGAACGAGGTATTAATGTAGTAATGGATCATTAGTCTGGATATGTCAGGTTTAATTTTGTCATTCATTCTTGAAATTAAGGTGGAAAATTCTACAAGTTTCATATAAATTGAGGGCAGATAAAAATATTCAATTTTCTGGTTAGCAATAGCAAGATTTTACACTGCATTTGTTTGACTAACGCTTCTTTAAAGCTAGGTTACTTTAAAAGTAATTACGCGTTATTCAATCGGTACAATCGTTTGATTTTTCTTGTTTAACTCCTCGTTGACAAATATTTGTTCACATCTACAGATGTTTGCTCACTGGGTAACCATGTCGAAATTGATGACATCACCCGGGGTATACACTTTACAACGGAGAACGCCACAACTGTACGAGGAAGGTGTGACAAAAACCTGTCCCTAGGGTGGTACCGATTCACTAGTGGGGTGGGGTGGAAGATGCCCCAAGTTTGCCCTGCTATTGGACAGTGTGGTGCTGAGTTTCCAATGTGGCTCAACGGTGAGTGTCAAAGAGCAATCAGAAGCATATACAGTAAAACCTATTTATAGTGAACATTTACTTACAGTGAACACTTTTGTGACTCTATAGGTGGCAGAGGGGATTAATACAGGAGCCAACGTAAAATGTGTCTCGAATTGGTGTTCACTAAACACAGTGTTCACTAGAGAGAGGTGTTCACTAAGACAAGTTTTACTGTACATGTAGTTTCGGCCAGATCGTTTTGTAGTAAGGTCAGTACAATACTTCCTAATGAGAAAGTATTCAGAAATTATTGTTGAGCCGCTGACCTGACTTCAAAACGATCTTGCCTGAATCTATGTTCAGAAGGACATCGTAATGAAAGAAAAACATATTAACTAATCAAGCGATTTGACGAAACTCATTTAATTACTAGCGCGAAATAAAATAATTGAAAGATTGTGATTGATTTCCAGTGCAGTGAGTAAGTGACCTGTCAAGGTATATCAAAGACGTATATGCCACGGGTTGGGATCGGAAGATTCCTCCGCTGTGGGGGATCGCGCTATTTTTCTTAAAAATGCTAAGAAAATCTCACAATTTATTATTGAGGTCAGGTGTTTTGTTTTACAAAAAAATTAAAAACCCAATCCATGTAATGGGTATATCATTTGAGGATAACTATCACTTTCGTTTGAAGAATTGGGCTAGGACTGAGATTCAGAAGTTTATGTTAGTCTCAGGCTAGGAGTTATTCGCAAACGGCGCTAGCGTATCTGACCCGACCCCCATCCCCCCACCCTGGTCAAAAATTCGATCAAAACCATGCAGTTTTTTTACAATTCTGAGCACTTTTTAGTGATTTTGGCCATTATTGGACCAAAATTGTAAAAAGTGAACCTCCCTGGAAATTTTAAAGAAGTGAACCCCCCTTAAAGCTGGCTACGGGCCTACGTATCATACTCTAAATGTACATTTTTCTCTTTAAGTGTTGCTTGAACAAACCTCGTACAACATATTTTCCTTCCAGACTCCTACCCCGAAAACGACACATTTGGACACGAGGCGAAGATGTGTATCCACTTCCCCGTGAATCGGGATGACGCCTGCTGCCTTTTACATATGACAATCGAGATAAAGATGTGCAAAAGTTATGCAGTTTATAAACTGGACTCCACCGTGAATTGTGACGCCTCATTCTGCGTTGGTACAGTATATGATTTCTGTCTTTGAACATGGGCTTTTCTCTTAAAAGCCCGAAAGAAAATCAAGATTCCAACAAAACTTCATCTTGATCCATCATAAACTGAAGGAAAACACTGGTTTTACAGTATGAAATAACTTTTTCCGAGAAAGTCATTCCAAATGAGCGTTTGCATTTTTGTGTCATCCTATAGGCCTAGTCTATCCATACCTATATGGTTTCCTGTAATCAGTGCATCTACTGTAGGACGTCCCTTTCTTCATCTTTGTATGAATTTACTCTCGAGTCTACTTCTAACAAGAAATGTTGGAAATATCTTGTGTAAAAAGCAAACTGGAACGTCTGTTTTGTTTAGAATTTAGAACTCAACATTATATTATTTTATATTTTGTAGGTTTAGAAACTCCTTGTGAAAATGACACAGAGTCAGAAACTGGGTTTACACCATGTACCAAAAGTAAGAATTGTGTAATTAGATAGCACTACCTGTTTTATGGTTGGGCAGGGCATTCTTTTATCTGCCAGCCGCGTAAAAATAACAAGTTAAAGATGTGAAATCATTTTTGTACATGTACATTCACGCGTGACATTGGTGGAGCTGCCACATTACTTTTGGTGTGCGATTCCAATGTGTGATTGACAAACACCCTAGCCGGCCTGTGATGAGTCCTATGGCACTAACCAGACTTCGTCATACTGTGGGCATTTTAGGCTCCACGTTGAGTTGATCGTGCCTGCCGTAACTTTTTGCCTTATGGCATCGAACAAACTCACGATATCATGAGGTCTAGTTAGTGCCTGACGTATAGATTAGCATGGCTTCTCTTTCTAATGTCAATTCTTGTTTTCTGATGTTGATATATTAGACAAGCCTTTGAAATAGTTGCTAGAGCTATATGTAGTCCCCTAGTTCCCCACAGTAGGCCCCAGCTTGTGTTCTTGTAGTGACTACTGTAGAGCATAGTACAACGATGGGGTATATTACAGAAACGCCAGGGCCCCAGCATCCGTGTACAAACACAACGTTGTGCCAGAATGGGGGAACGTGTGACGACGGGGTGGGCAACTACACGGGAAACTACACCTGTTTATGTCCAGCTACCCATACGGGGTTACACTGTGAATCTGGTAAGACTTTCAAGTTGTACAGGCTTGTTTGCTAGACGTTTTTTGGCGATCCGAACTTTTTCAAATAGATCAGCGCGTGTGGCTCTTTACGCAGCACCAAAGTATTAAATGTTGTCCAACAACAATCTTATTCAGTTGTCATCATGTTTTCCTTGCCCAAAAATTAAAATTTCAGTATCTCAACAAATATGAAAATTAAAGGAATTCGAAATGCTGGAACGCATACATATATTTATTCATGAAACATGGGACGTTCGCTTCTCCAAATATGTCGGACATTTTTGGGAAAAAGGGCTATTGAAACAGATGCAATTTACACAGTTTCTTATGTTTCAGAGGTCAACACCAACCCCCCTCCATCAAATGTAGGCATGATTGTTGGTATCATCATTGGCAGCTTATTGTTGGTGGTTATCTTAGTAAGTTATGTTGCATTTAAAACTGTTTCAAACTGAACAAAAAACACTAGAAATCTGTTCGTGTTTAATTTACTATAAATATGTAACCTTGTCTTGCAGGTTCTTGTTGGAATTTTAATATTTAAGAAGAAATCAAGGTTGAGAGTTGATCCACAAAAAGAAAATGTACTCCCTATCACTCCTGAACCATCAGAGCCATCTTTTGATGAAACTACTTTGGAAAAGAAAAATTGAGCTAGTTACATAAATTATTCTAAAAGCGAAGAGAGAAATAACATAAATACCTTAAGCCAAATGGAGCATTTTGTGACCTCCGAAGACTAATATTTTTACTTTTTTTTAAATTTGCATGTAGCATGGACCATGGTATACATGTACCAATGAACTCATAACTGAACCTGATGTGCATAAATATAAATGAATACCAAATAAATAAATAACATCATCCACAAACATAACATTTCATGATTGTTCTGTTATATTCTCATATATGGTCATATCAAAAGCACATTTAACATCAATGAAGACATTTTATACACAATATATACATCATAAATAGTCATACTCCTCTAGTGTTTCATCTATTGGTTTATGCGTATACCTCGCGAGGCTCTTGTGAAATACACAACCAATGATTCCTCAGGGATTTCTGCGAAATCTCATTGAATGAATTTTCCGGTATCAGCATATTTTGGATTTTTTTGGGGATGATACTCAGAATTCACAAACTATAAGACATGTATGATCCTCGTAAAAAGTATATATGTTCATATTTCAATATGATCGACACAGAATTATGAAATAGAACATCAGTAAATAAGCACACAGTGAATAAAGTGACTTAAAAATTGATTGTGCTATTCTAGCATCCTTAATGCCCAGAAAGTAAAGTATGTACACTTCTCAGTTGATGGCAAGATATTAAAAAACTGTTTGATAACTAAATTACTGTATAGTAGTTCATGAATCTATTTTAATACCTTTCTCATTAATCATTATGTGAGATTCAGCACTCCAAACGTTTTAAATAGCTCTACGTGGTGGAGTCATTTGAGATGCAACACGAATTGAAATGATCTGCTTTGGAAAACATCAATGTAAAGGGACAGGCAAAGGATAGAGACAATGCAATAGAAAGTGACTCTATGAAACAATTTTGCTTATATTAAACTATGTCACGTCTATTTTCTAAGAAACTCATTTGGCCTGACTTTATTCCTAGAAATACTTCCATTTTATTAAAAACATCGCCTGAAACACTGTGCAATCTCTATCTTTTACTGCCTCTTTGATCATTATACCTTGGATTCAGGTTAATGATAAGACAGGTAAGTAGAATATATCTCTTTGCAAATTATTGTTTTCCAAAGTAACATCAACTCAAATTGCAGTTTATATGAGGCAGGCTTAAGTAGGTGTTACATTGCAATATCCTCTTAATTCCAGAAATAGAATAATTATAAATCACATGCTAAACATGGAATGAAGGCATCGAAGTCAGATGTTTTCTAAGAAATTTTACAATATTGTGTAAGAGTTAAATAACTTCTATAATGAAAACTAATGGAAAAGAAAATGAAATGAGATTCTAGGCTCATCATAATATGATATAGGGGATATGAAAACATGAGCAGTTCATGAATTGACTGATGATTCTGTATTCAGAATTACAATTAATTTTTATCTTCCTTCCTTTACACTCATACTGCAATCTTGCATCACAGATGTACAGTGATGGAGAAGCATGGCGTCATCCTGCACCAAGACCCTGTACAATAAATATATCTCCATTTCTGTCACAGGGAACGGGGGAACAGGGAGGATCTTTTTGCAAGAATAAGAAGTGCACTCATCACAATGTCTCTAACAGTCTATCTCTATATTACTTTAAATTAATCACTATATGGTAAAGGGCAATAGAAAATAATTTTATAGATGGCAGTGCGTCTCCTTTTTCTGAGAATAAAGTTCTACTTCTGCTGCCATCTTTATATCAACCTAAATCTTAATATCAACCTAACCTATGGCATTAATAAGTCTACATCCTCATAAAATGTAGACTGGATCATGAATATGATATGTGACAGGTATGAATATGTGACAGGTATGAATATGTGACAAGTATGAATATGTGACTCCTACAGTAGAATTTCAAATGAGAGATGACTGACCAATAAATCACATGTTAAATGTAAATACTTCTAAATAATCATCGGTGAATACACGAAGAAAATTGAAATCAATGTTTTCAATAATAGGCTACCTGTATATTATAAATGTACATTATATGAGCTACCATATGTGTTGTCATAATAAATACAATCACTTGGGACTAAGAGTACAAAATAACTAAATATTAATAATTATGGGACTTGAAGAATAAATGTACAGTATATTTAAGTAAAAAATTATAAATTAAATATTTGTTTAATAACCCAGTACATATTTTTGATTTGAACACACATTTTGTGGTTTCTCTATCCCAAAAGTAGATTTGAGAATTCTCAATAATCAATTTGCATCAAGTGCAAGTCTCTACAAACACTATACACTTCAGCAACTAAGAATGAAAGTGCAATCAAAATTAAGTCAATACACTGTCATCTAATGTGACTCCTCTAATAATCATAGCACTATACTGTACCATTATGTATATATAACATTTTAAAGTACATGTACTGTATAATTTTATGCCTTACATTTGGCACTCGCTAAAAAGCCACTATTTAATAATAACTATATACTATAGCTAACTCATTTTCACTAATTTAACCACAGACTTACGTGCAGAAAGTCCATGGCCATTTCCAGAAATGAGTTTTTAAAACAATCAATGAAATTTCCTTATGGCATCATTTTACAGATTGATGTCTTGATATAATAGATGGTGATTGGTGAAATATGAAATCAATTGCATAAATACATAAACAATATAAAAAACAGTTTGGGTATATATGTACAATTTATACATATTATCACATTACTTTTAATACAATTCACATTATTAAAGCATCACCTTACATACAAATGTTACAGTAAGTGGCGTGTCATGCATAACGAAGTTTACCCCATTACTGATATGTAGTTTTTGTAAAATCAATTAGGCAGATAGATGGCACAGTGATCAGTCTGTTCCCAAGAGTATATTAAAATGCCCTAGTTCCAAAGAGTATATTAAAATGCCCTAGTTACTGGACCAAATCTGATGATTATAAAATCATTATGGATTAGATCATAGAGGTCAAACTATGATAAAGTAAAGAACAGGTTCTTTTTTAACCATGCTGATCTCCAAGGATGCATCTAATTGAAAGCCCATGATTGGATATATCATAATTCTTCTATTCTCATGACACGACACAACTGTCTTCTGCTTGACTACAGACTCTATTGGAACCATTTACAACAAGTTCATTATGTGAATGAATGCGTTCACTAAAGGCAGACTCCAGAATCCAGATAATCTTCCCAGTGATCAAATCACAAGATTGATCTCAGCCCTATGTAGAGGGGGTGATAATGTTTTACATTCCATATTTTTCACTTCATATCCATATTTTCTATGTGGACCCATATTTCCCCAATATATTACATTTCATATTTCATTCTATGCCACATCCCCTCATATGAAGCAGCTGACCATAGGGGGGTGAAATGTCTGAAGCCTTGGATTTAAAGGATGGATTGAATATTATACTGATTCTGACCTTCTATGAATATATGCAAAACTTACCGCTCAGTAGCGATCTCTTAAACATCACGAGTCAATAACATTTGTAATAACATCACAAGTAACATGTCACTTTTCTTGTGAACAACATCTTAAGTTTCAAAGCGAAGTATTTTACAAAGAACGCTTTCGTTATAATTGTCAGACCACACAATAACTTCATACATGTAACAATATCATATTTCTGAAGCTTGAGATGAAAAGCACACATTTATATTGCACACCCTGTGTAAGTCTATCAGCTATATGGTCCTAGAACATGTCAAATGGTCCTAGAACATGTCATATGGTCCTAGAATATGCCATATGGCCCTAGAACTGTTATAAGGTCCTAGAGCATGTTATATGGTCATAGAGCATGTTGTATGGTCCTAGAACATGTCATATGGTCCTAGAGCATGTTGTATGGTCCTAGAACATGTCATATGGTCCTAGAATATGCCATATGGTCCTCGAACATGTCATAAGGTCCTAGAACATGTTGTATGGTCCTAGAGCATGTCATATGGTCATAGAGCATGTTGTATGGTCCTAGAACATGTCATATGGTCCTAGAGCATGTTGTATGGTCCTAGAACATGTCATATGGTCCTAGAGCATGTTGTATACACATCACCACAATGTCTAGAACATACCATATGATCCTAGAACATGCAACATGATCCTTAGACATGCCATGTAGTGCTATAATATGCATATGGACCTAACATATGTCTAGCAGTTCTAGAACATTCCATAACATTCCAGTTATTATTCAATGGATAAAATGGAATCATAAACTTTTAAAAAAATTAAAAGCAAAATTCAATTCTCAAATGAGATCCTCGCTTGTACTTTTGTACTCTGGTAGTAATACTTTTGTACTGAATGTAACTTGATAGAAATGTTAAGTGACTGTTTTTCACTTCACTAATTATAACTTTGTTCTTGTGAATCATCTTTTTGTAATACTTTTGGTTCACTCTGTACTGGTTTAACCAGCGCCATTGTGATATCTAACATGCAAGATATACATGTAGTCTTCCACATATGTTGGCAAGTTGCTTCAAATGCCACCTCCTAGTCATCTAATTTGGCATTTCGTTAATTTGCATTTGATGCACTTATATTACACATGGGCCCCTTAGTTTCACTGCTAACTAAACTCAATGCATTCTAGACTACGCTCCTGGATGGAAGGATCTCATGGGGCCTTGAGAAGTTCTTTGGCCATGTAAAAATGCTCCTTGTTCATCAAAGTTAGAAGGATCATTGCTGCCGTATTCATCAAAGCTACTGCTATCTGATGCTGGTTTCATGTCCTCGAGTTCTTCATGGTAGGTTGCTGGACTCATCTCCTCCTCACTGCAATTAAACAAACATTTAATTAAGGCCAAAATGCATGAACTTGTTTCATAATGGGAGGGAGAGGTGGGTGGTGGGTGTATAATATTAATGGGTTAATATCTTGGCCTGTATAATTCAATTTCTGAGCAAGTCAAATTTTCTTTTAAGAGTGCAACCGATATTTACCCTGCGCGCAGAGTCTAGTTAAACTACACTCTGCCTAGTAGAGACCATATTACAGTTTAGTAGCCCCGCCCCTACGACGGGTACCGGTGACAGTTTGGGTAATAATTCACGTCTGACATACGCGCTGACCTTTCTTCCACCAGTCAGCGAGCTTGAAGAAACATATGCCAAATGCGTGCTAATTAAATATGCGCATGTCATTGGTCAATTCCGGGCTCAACGATGATGTCAGAAGGAATGACCATATATAGAACGTCGGTCAATTTGGCCGACGAGCACTGATTGGCGCGGTGAGTTCACAGGTTTATTTTAGTTTGAAAGAGTGAAGACGAAGCTCTCTTTTAAGAAGTGAAGTCAAAAGAATGCAAAGGGTAACCAATATTATACATGTAATTAAAGCAAATAAAACAATTTGTTTCTTTCTCTCTATACATAGAAATTGAAGTAAAATTATGATAAAAAGATCAAGTATGTAATTACTTATAAACTGAACAATAAAACCTGTATATCTGAACACTTCTCTCTAATTCTGAACACCTCTCAGTGTGAACACTATCTTTCATTTCAGTCCCAAATATCTCAAATTGTACAAAATTTGAAATCGAAACACCTGCTTAATCAAACACTTTCGGCCAGTCTCACTGGCATCCAGATTAGACAGGTTTAGCTGTACACTAATAAATACAGAAGTTACTTACAGGGGTTTTGGTTTGTATTCATCAAATGATGGAACACAAGGATCTGGTCCATTAATGTCTTTCCTTCTCTGCTTCTCTCTCTCGTGCACTGTAAAGACACATAACACACATGTAGATATCACAATACTTGAAATTTCTGACATATCATTCATTGATAATATGAGCCTCACGGGATGACTTTTGCAAATGTTTGCATGTACACAAGCCTATGAGTGATCCATTGAAAATTCCAATTGGCCACATCAAATTCTGAAAAATTTTATATGATTGAGTTACGTACAAAATGTGACCTGGAATCTCATCTTTACCTGGGTATTTGCCTCCTCTGTTGCGCCTCCACAACACAAACACTATCACTGCAACTATGACGATGAGTAGCACAATAAAGATTCCGACTATCAACCCAATATTAGTTGTTGCTGCTGCCACCTGGCGAGCTGTAACAGAAACATACAGTTTAAATATGTTTAGGTATGAGTTCCGTAATCCAACACCACATTCGAAAATTCATATCAATACTTTGCACATATGGCGTTCGTGATCAACTTTAAAACGCTTACCCCCCATAGTGTTATATATCGAAATGTACCTTTTATTGACATTTTATATCAGTTACGTGATACATTATAGTCAAAAGATTGAACTGATGAAGGGTGTAACTCTGACCTGTTTTCCCGAGGTTGAAAGTGTGTATTTCACTGGAGCTCTTTACCCCAGCACCATTAATAGCAACAACCTGGACTTCATACAATACTCCTGTTGTGAGGCCTGTCAGATTGCGCCAGTGGATACTGTCTGTCTCGTCATATGCATGCCACACTTCTTTACCTATAAAATTAATATTCTCACTTTTAGTACTTCCAGTTTTTTGACATACAAACAAATAGATAGTATATTACCTCTATACATGTATATGTAAGCCTATTCTTATAATTAAGTGCTGCCCTCTTTATAACGATCTCAAAACTCTGTAAGTATGAATTAAATGTTTCAATCAAGGGCTTATTTAATACCCGGGGCTTAGTTGTGTACCAAACGAAATGAGAAATGACACGACATCCGGGGCTTTGTTTGGTCTTCATTAGACAATAGTGTATAGAGGGGTATGTTTTCTCAGACCTAGGTACCTTTTTCTGTACCGTTTTGCGGTTATTTTACTCTATTGCATTGTAATCCGTTCACATCATTAGCTACATAATTGATTAACTTAAATATATGATATGTAAACAAGAACACAAATGTGTACAAAATGTCCCCACCAATGGGTGATCCCATCAAATGGTTATCCTGAAAATGAGTAGACAAGACTTTACCAACACAATTTTAATTGATCCGTCACACAGTTAACTAGAAAACATGTAAACAAGACTTTACAGACAAGATTTTAGGATGGAAAATCCAAAATGGCTGCCTTGACATTTACCCAGAATGTCAAAAAACTAATCTGTTCCTAGATTTTCATACTAAGAATCATCCCTGAAAATATGACATTGATCTACCAAATGGTTCACCTGAAAACGCGTAGACAAGTAGACTTTACAGACAAGATTTTAAGACAGAAAATCCAAAATGGCTGCCATGACATTTACACAGAATGCAAAAAAACTAATCAGATGTAGATTTTCACACTAAGAATCATCCCTGAAAATTTGAAATTGATCTACCAAACGGTTCACCTAAAAACGCGTAGACAAGACTTTACAGGCAAGATTCTAAGACAGAAAATCCAAAATGGCTGCCTTGACATTTATCCAGAATGCCAAAAAGCTAATCAGATCTAGATTTTCATACTAAGAATCATCCCTAAAAATTTGAAATTGATCTACAGAACGGTTCACCTGGAAATGCATAGACAATACTTTACAGACAAGATTTTAGGACAGAAAATCCAAAATGGCTGCCTTGACATTTGCCCAGAATGTCAAAAAAACTAATAATCAGTTCTACATTTTCATACTAAGAATCATCTCTGATAATTTGAAATTGATCTACCAAACGGTTCACCTGAAAACACGTAGACAAGACTTTATAGACAAAATTTTAGGACAGAAAATCCAAAATGGCTGCCTTGACATTTACCCAGAATGCCAAAAAACAAATCAGATCTAGATTTTTATACTAAGAATCATCCCTGAAAATTTGAAATTGATCCACCAAACGGTTCACCTGAAAACACGTAGACAAGACTTCACAGACAAGATTTTAGGACGGAAAAATCCAAAATGGCCGACAATAAAAAAGTGATTATGTGTTTTTGCTGATTTCTTCTTACAAAATTATCACATATTACTACTGTGAACAATAACATAGGCTTTTACAACAAAGTAGATCTGAAATTATTTATAAAGCTACTAAATAGTTAAAGTATGAAAACTCAAAAACACCATTCAATATGATACAAAGTATTATCGTGCGCTAACTTTTCTTAAGACATTCAAAATGGCTGACATGACTGAGCTAACAGGTCCAAAACCTAATCAGATCTAGAATGAAGTGAGCTGAACAAGATTTTAAGTTTTAAAAGCAACTGTGAAGCCGTTTTTCTTAAAGTTTGCAGACAAGGGTTTTAGCATTTGACTTCAAAATGGCGGACAGGAAGTAGGTATCGAGTTAAAATTTTTTCATCCACATCTGTATGCACTCATAAGTTATCCCTGAAAATTTGAAGGTGATATCTGTAGCGGTTTTGGAGAAAACTCCCGGACGTACGGACAGACGGACGGACGGATGTACGGACAAAGGCATACAAAGGCATACATACCCTCAGGTCTATACTGCATATAGAATGAAGCGCCAGGGTTAGAGGTTTCAAGAGATTTGTGCCAGCTGATGTTGACGCTGGTGTCATCCAAAATATCAATGTCAACTACTGGTGCATCTGGGGCTAAAATAATAATATTTTGGTGAAAATCTATTTCTTTATATTTTCTGTGCATTGATTTCAAATTAACTTGAAAATACATATCACTTTCATATAAGTCATATGTGATAACAAACAAATTGTTTGAGATTACAATCAAACAATTTGTTTGTTTTAAAAATGTATTAACATAATACATAAAAAACTTATTAACATTATACATAAAAACTTATTAACTTAATACATAATAGTTTGTGATATCCCATTATGCAAATTCTGCAGCAGATGATTGACCCTTTTCGAACATCATAAAGTTAAAAGTCTGCAAGTTCATTGTCTAAGAACTGATCTGTGTATCCCGATTTAACAATATTTGGAGAAACTGATCTTTGGCACTTTAACATATACTTACCGACATCTGGATGAGTTTTCCGTTCTAAGCATTTCCACTTGCCATTACCCTGGGCTGTAGTGGCAGCAACACATATCCTATAGAGTGTATTAGGGGCAATTGAATCCAACTTAACAGTCGTTATACTGGGGTCAGTCACCTTCTTGTTTCCATATAGTTCTGGGATTGAACTTCCATCTTCTCTCACTGTAACATGTATAACATATTTATTACTAATATATGATCATAGTCATGGTCAATGTGGCAGATGGTGAATTAGAGGGCAAGGGAAAAGCATTTAGCCTGCATGATCACTTAATGTTTCTATAGCACCTTGTCCTTAACATAGATATGTTCAATGAGTATCCTTTGGCAGTTATATAGACGATTAAGAGCAAGTGGGTCATGGAGTTATAGGGGATGGAGGTATAGGAAATAGGTCAGCTTGCCCTGTAACCAGTCACCTTTCAAACTATCACTTAATTTCACACATTGTTTGATGTTAGTTGGCTATGAGCATGAACAATGCCTTTTTATCATAGACCATGACAGGACCATAGCCAGAGTCACTTCGATGGGTACGAGTGAACCCCCCTGGCCAAAAATTCTTTCAATATCATTCAGTTTTTCACCATTCTGAGCACTTTTTAAATGATTTTGGTCATATTTGGACCAAAATTGTCAAAAGTGAGCCCCCCCCTAGAATTTTCAAAAAGTGAACCCCCATTGGCAAATCCTGGCTTGAGCCTGTATATGAGTTGACTAAAAAGAGTATGTTTAAGTTACTTACATGCTGTGTATTCTACATTATATCCAGTAAGGTCTCCATTTGGGTGGGAGGGTTTCTTCCACACCAGATCCATATGATGGGACCCTTTACGTAAGATCTCAAACATTCCAACCTCATCGGGTACTAAATTAACAGAAAACATTTAGCTGAACAATAATCTTGGAGTCACTACATATATGTACGATACGTGTACTTTTTATATGTTGTTAATGCTGAAATCATCGGTTTGAAGTAAAAAACAAACTAAAAAGTAAAATATATGTAATAATTTCCTGTCTCGGTGTTATTGATGATAATGATGATAAAATGATGAGATGATGAAAGCTGAATAATACAATAACAAATGTTACAATAGTTTCTCTTGGACAAACTATATTCTGAAATACTGGTTATACAAATTATGTGTATCACATATCTACGTATTCCAATACAGATTAGGAAAAATGAAACAATGATTCCAGACTATAAGTTTAACTGGAAATACACTGTATCCATTTTTACCATTTTTGGCCCATTTTCACTCAGCTTAATTCATATAAAATTAAACATTGAAATTAATCAGGACAACATATCATTCAATGTTCAAAGCTTTCATGAATTAAAGAAGGGACTGCATATTTCAGATCCAGTACCATGTGGGTGATCTATTCTGATCCTTAATAAACCCAAAATGTTTCTGATAATCTGTAATATGCGCCATTAATAGCCTCTGTTGCAAACCTTCTTTTCAGAAAATATTTAAGTTTGTGAAAAGTTTGTGGAATTACAGAAAAGAAGGTTTTACATTATAGAAGTATATTGATTTTGGAAATTACATTTGATGAATTAAAATATTTAGGATTGTTAAGGATATGAATTACAGCTATTATCATTTGACTAAATCTGAAGTTGTGCATGAAATATAAAGGGATATGGTGATGCTCTTGAGCAAAGCTGAAAGATACAGGGTGACCCAAAAAAAATGCAACCCTCCATTTCTTCAATATTTTTCTTAAATGGAGGTAAATTGCTCTGAGATTTGGCACACAAGGACTTCATTCAATGTGGGATCCTCTGGCAAAGTTTTAATAATCATAGTCTCATATTGATAGAGTTATGGTTGTTTCAAAATATGCTCCAGATGTCGTCAATTTCGCTGAAAACAAACTTGCAATGTTCAAGGAAACTGTTCATAACATGGATGCATTCTTCCCCATGGGTATGGCTCAAATTTTTGCAGCTATTGCTTATTGGAGTTCTGCAATTGCGGTAGGGTTATTTTCATACACATTATCCTTTAAATAACCCCATATATAGAAGTCAGGGGCATTGAGATCAAGACTTTAGGATGATCATGGGTTCTCCGTCCTAGGAGAGATCATCTTCTCATAGAAATGACTAGTGAGCCAGGCTATGCTATCATTAGAAGTGTGAGGAGTAGCTCCATCCTTCTAGAACCACGATTCTTGTCTATTGAAGCCTCTATGTCACTCTAGAACTGCCTAGAACTTCCTGGGAACTCCAATATTGCGCTGTGTGTTAACAGAAAAAGTGTTGCCATTATCAACCTCAAACCAAGAGGGGCTGATGATTTCATGTTTGGAAATTGGCAGCTCAAGCTGTGCATTTAACAGAATGAAGGGGCCTTTGAAGCACTTCATCTGGAATTTGTGATCCCAGAACACATTATTTCTTGAGTTTACGTGTTCAGAAAGAAGGGAATGTGATTCATCCGAAAATATAACATTGGAAATGGACGACATTTGGAGCATATTTTGGAACGACCATAACTTTATCAATATGAGACTATGATTATTGAAACTTTGCCAGAGGATCCCACATTGAATGAATTTTTTGTGTGCCAAATTTCAGAGCAATTAACCTCCATTTAGGAAAAATATTGAAAAAATGGAGGGTTGCATTTTTTTTGGGTCACCCTGTATTACAGTTAAGTTGTAAAAAACCCATCTAGAATTAACAGAAAATTGGTGAGTTAGGACAGGAAAAAGTTCTGTCCTTTATACCAACATTTACAAAATTTGTGTGTCATAGATTCATTTCTCTACTCATACCAGTTTCCTGATTTGAAAACACTGTAAATGATACAGACTTGTTGTCAACAGTATTATATTTTGTTGACAAAAAGCTGATTTCCCTAAAATAAGAAAGAGTAAAATCTGGAACCAATAACTAGATTACCAGTGTGGCGCCCATACAATGGATGTTTTAATTTCTCAAAAAGTGTTGGAGGACAGACAGACAGATAGATGGATGGAGGAGTGTTCAATTCAATAGGGTCACCATGTGAGGAAAAAGTGTTCATGGAATTTTAAGTACTATGAGGTGTGTTTTTGTTTGAAAAAGAGTGAACATCTACATGGGGCCGAAGAGAGAGGAGCCATGCCTTCTTGTGTAGAATCACATATAGAGTCCCTTTATACCTCATAAATACACAAACAAGAGAGAACAAAGAAGTGTTTTTAAAGTTAAATATTCTTTGAAGCTTAAAGAAACCCAAAAGCAGATATTTGAGAAATGTTAAAATACCCAGCTGATGAAAAATGTTAATGAGGCAACTGTGGATGAAGTAAAGAAAGGACAAGGTGCAATTATTGGCAAATATCCCTATGGTCAAAATGAATCATTCGTAGGTGTAACATGAAGAATAAAATGTCATATAATACTTTGGAAAATATTAAAGTGCTCGGACACACATAAGCTGAGATAGGGATCATTTCGTTCAGTAAGGTTGTATTGACTTACATGGGGCTGTGCACCATTGACTTAGCATGAGGATATCAGCAGATCCCAATAGAAACCATTGGTTTCCATTGATTATCACAGAAATACCAAAAATACACTATGACCTGAATCGATTGCAAACTTAATAATTTCACAATACGACACAAATGGTTTATCTCATCAAATGTGCAAATATGAAGTTTGCAATCGATTCAGGTCATACTTAAAATTAGAAGATTGTACATTTTTTCATCATTTTTTTCCCTACAAAATGGCTATAGAAAAATGCTCCAAAAACAACTTTTACACTTATCAAATATCATACAAGTTTGTAAAACCAAAGATTATACTATTATATTTCATTATGTTGTAACATATTTGGATAAGATGCAGGGATGCGTAGGATGTAAATGGATTTTGACAGACACAAAAATACTTCCTGGTTTGGAATCTATGCCTCTACATTTCATGATTGAATTATGACCCTAATAAGTGGCCTATACATCAATACAGTGCTGAATATAGGTCAACAAGATACTAGTGTGCATATAAATGCAATAATTGAAGCAGACTACTCATTTTGAAAAATCAGATGAATTATTTTTTTCCCATGGGGAGATCCCAATGGAGGGTGTATAAGGTCCTTTGTGTATCAACCACATGTATTCAGGCTTTTTAATCTAGCTTATCCAATTCCCTTCAAATACAATTTGAAACTATTCCAGAAAATTCATCTAGAACCACACCAAATTAGGAAATATTTGTTAAAGAAGAAACTGTTGTTCGAGTTCAACAGATCGAGTTGGAAAAGTGGGTGATTCCATAGCCCATCATGTGAATCAGTGAACAAAAACAACATGTGCATTACTTATGGTGATGTTAATACTACACCCATTAGCTACAGAACAACACATTAATGGCTAAAAACTAAAATTAAAATAACATTAAGCAACTACAGTCAAGCTACACTTAGAAGCTTACCAAAAAAATAATTGCCTATAATTCAGGAACAAATGTAAGCATTACTACAATTTTATATATAAAATATAATCTGAATTTACAATAAGCACATCACATATGTTTTGAATTAGTTCCAATTAGAATTTGAAATGGGTATAAGTACACTAACTAATGTATATAACAAGTTCATGCATACACAAATACATGCGGAATCAATACAAACGTGATCACTTTGACAAATAACAAAAATTTTAATTAGTTTAATATAATTCACACTATAATTATATAAATACGACATAAATTGTCTAATAAAATTGTGCGTCATGCTTTGTCACTTAAAGCAAATTATGAAAAAAAAATGTTCGATAATATTATACTGACCTCCTTCTGGTGTCCTGAATGTTACAACATTACTGCTTGGACCTTCATGGAATCTGTTAATAGCGACAACGTAAGCTTCCAGTTCTGAGTTACCAAATAAGGTGTTGGAATGGCCAGTCATTTTTTTGCCTGTCGTATGTCTCCTGAAGCGACGTTTATCACAACGTAGTGTATCCTCAGGGTAAGATTGTAGGATTATGTCAGTGGATCTACTGATGTCAGGGTTTTCTTTCTTGTAAAAGTGTATCTAAAACAGAATGATATCATATTAATAAACAAATTCTCCATGGGGGTGTGGTCTTACATTAATTCTGACTCATCTTGTATCCCAAAGAGAAACCTCTCAAAGCTAGAACATTAATCATGAATCACCCTGTACCCTATGAAAAAAACTTTCAAAGCTAGAGCATTAATCATGACTCACCCAGTACCCCAAAAAGAAACTTCTTAAAGGTAGTACATTAATCATGACTCACCCTGTACCCAACAAAGAAACCTCTCATGTTCCTGGGACTGCAGTCCACAGTGGTCCATTCAAATGTGGCATATGACGCATTGAGTTTACCATCAGAGAGGGCAAAGTCTGAGGGTGCTGTCTGGGGTTCTGAAAATATAGTACAATACATTAATATATATAAATATATATAAATGTACAATACCAAAATAAACTTGACTTGGAATCAAACATACAAAATCAAGAATTGTGATACATGAATCATAAGCAGATTATCTGAGAGATTAAATGTGAGACTCAGTTTTTCCTAGTAACTTAGTAAGCCCTGCTGAAGTCTAACTTTGTCTCAGTGCGATTATATCCTCTTCCTGGTAAATAACTTTGCTTTGGCTACTCACAGTTAAAAGGTATTTGCTTAAATTAACAAAAAATAAGTAGATTTCCTACATGTATGTAGATCGTATCACCCCAGAATAGCCTGACAACGGTAAAGTCAGATACCGTTGTCACAAATGGAGGACATAACCGTCGCTTCAATTAGATTTTCATGAACTGTATGTTTAATAGAGCACCTAGACTAAATTCCTTTGGAACAACAATCAATCAAAATGTCTGTATACTCATTGTACAGTTAATTACGTTCTACCATCGAAATAAAGTCTTTAATTTAACCGATCAAAATGAGATACGGGACAATGGACACTGTAATTACCATATGCCGTTGACTTTCAAAATTACTTAAAATTCAGATTCCGTTGTCATTGACGATATCGTAGACGCTATATTGTGGAGATTCACAACCCAATTTGATCGAAAATGGGATTTCATATGATACATTATCACAAGAGCTTAATGCAAGCACAGAATTAGCGACGATAAAATCCCATGAAATGAGGACCAAGTGATTAAACAGTTGAAGCGACGGTTATGTCCGCCATTTGTGACAACGGTATCGGACTTTACCGTAGTCAGGCTATTCCGGTGTGCGTATGTGAATACTCGTATATTTGCTGGAATGTGACCAAATATGAAAACTATGCATTACCATCTTCTCCTGAATATGTCTGAACAGCCATTGCCTCGCCTATTGCTTTTCCTTCATCATTTACTGCCTCAACTTTCACCACATATGGCTTATATGTATCACCAGTGATAACCTTCCATTTTCCTGGAGCATTATCAGAGAGACGGACTTGTTCTGATCTCCAGGTAGAGTCGTCAGCGGGTAGTGTCCCTGGGGCCCAGCTAACAACGTAGTGGAAGCCTTCACCATTGTGCTCTATCTCTGGCATAGCCTACAATCAAATAATACATATATATACATACACGTATCGGGTAATACTGATGATGAATGGTAATAATGATGATGCATGTTGGGTAATTTCATGAAACTTTCAATCAAAATTTCACAATTAAATCTTTAAATCTTTTATACCCATACATGTTCTCTACATGTCCTGATAGTATTTAGGGAAAATGATCACAAAAACCAAAAGCTTATGACACATTTGTTCTTACATCCCAAGTAATGGTAAGACATCCTGTCTCATCACTATGGTCACCAACATTATCAGGGTGCTTAGCAGGTACAGCAGAGGGAGTGTCACAGCTATCAGCAGTAGGCTTGCTACCTTTGCTAATCCCAACACCATTCCTGGCAACCACACGGAACGTATAACTAGCCCATGGAGAAAGCTTTGTGATGTCATGCTGCGTGTCATCACCAGTGACGTACTTCTCATCCTCAAACCATTGATCGTCGTACTCTGTCTTATACTGGACGTGGTACCTCTCAAGAGGTGAGTTGTTGTCCTGGCTAGCAGTCCATGTGATTCGTGCTCTGTAGAACTGGGAGTTTGATTTTGGACCACATTTAATGAGTTTGACATTTGTGGGGGGAGAGGGAACATCTGCAACATAGAACATACACTCAAGTCATTAAAGTTAATTATGGAAAAAGGAGTGCATTTATTCAGAGTATGCAAGTTTGTTGGAGGGTTCAGTTAAAAATTCACAGCTACCAGACTGCCAATACTGGCAATATTATGGTTCTTCAACATGACATTTCTGGATTTTTGTTTACTACTACAACCAGGCAATGGACAAGTAGCCAATTGGGCAAGGACTGAATTCAAATACAGTAAAACCTGTATAAAGTGAATATCTATGGAGCCGCAAAAAGAGTGTTCACTGAAGGTAGGTGTTCATTATAGAGGGCATTTTATATAGGAGTCTGCAGAATGTCACTTGAAACACAGGTTTTCACTAAGAGTGGGGTGTTCACTAAACAAGTTTAACTGTATGCTTTTAACCTTAGTAATGAACCCTATTAGAGAATATGGTTCAAACAACCGTTACCTTCAATGGTTACTGCAGCTGTACTGGTGGCAGTGTCAAGTTCATTACTTGCTACACAGGTGTATTCTGCTGATTCTTCCAGTCTTACATCTTCCAAAGTTAACTTACTATACATGATGTTGCCTTCTAGACGATTCTCAATCTACAATATAGAGAATTAAAGTAATTACATGTGCAGATATTATTATACATAATAAGTCTGATAAAATTGAGGTACAATGTCTATTGAAATTCATAGTGGGTGTGATCCCAAATCAAAATTATATAGTACCTGAAAATATTTGAAAATGATATAAAAACTTTAAAGTATCAAGTTAAAATACAAAATAATAAATAACGAAATAATAAACGGTAGAGAGAATGTTAGTCTTGCTTCAAGACCCTGGATCCCCCTCCTTATCTACCTAACAACAGGTTGTTGAAGTACTGTACTGTAGATAGGGGGGGGGGGGTCCAGGATCTTGAAGCAAGACCAAGAGAATGTGAAACCCCACATTATTGATAACTTTTACACCAAAGGGTTTTGTGTGGTGTATATGCAGGCAGAAAAGGAATGCATTTTCAGAAGAAATATACAAATCCAAGCAAATAATAATTTTAAAAGCAAATCAAAACTCTTAAATGTACATGTCAACCAAAGGAGAAAAGTTAAGCAGCACAATCGTGAAAGTCTTGTTAATGCAAGCAAAGATAGGAGCAGTAAAGATACAAGTGTGAAAGCTTTGGTGAAATCAAGGTACATGGTTTTTAGCTGAACTACATGGTTTTTAGCTGAACTACATGTATACTAGTCACTGATGGTGGATCAAGGTGCGACAAAGGCACTTGGCAAGCTAAGAGTATTTCAGCATATAAGGAAAACAGCATGACAGGTTGTTTTTTAACACAAAACTTTGACCAGTTGGTTGGTTTTTACAATGCACACTGATTGGGATAAAGGGAGGGGGTGTGTCAATTTGGGAATTCTTTAAAAGGGTATATGATATGACAATGCTTCAAACCTGAAACGCAAAAACATATACATAGCATCCACATGTAAACTATAAACTAATCTGTATAGACAGGTAAAACATCATCAAATGCAGATTGGCATTCATAAAATGTGGAAAACATTCAATTCAAATGCATTGTTTTACAGGGTGACACAAAAAGGTATCACCCTGTATATCATTGACATCACTCTCAGTCCAGGCATTCAGACAGAACACCATAGTTACCTGGTATGATTCCTATAAACAACAGATAATTGTAGAATCAAGCTTTCAAATGATATAACACACTGGCATTATATGATTTTAAAAAAGTAAACCCCCCAAAAATATTGTGTTGTAAATCCATAAGGACCAACTGTAACTTTGAAAAAATAAGTTAGTTTGAAATCAAGGACATGAATATCTTTGAGCAAACATTCCCCGACATCTATGCTGTATATATTTTCTAGAAGTAGCTAATATTCTTACTAGTTCACTTTCTACATCCTCAAAGCCTGGAATGGTTCGAGTCCAGCGGATGCTTAGAGCACTCAGTTCTGATTGGTCAGTTGTTGCACTACACTCAAGAACGATAGATTTCCCCGCAACCTGACGCTCATTCTCTGGTCCTTTCACAATGGAGGTTTTCACTGAAAATGAAAAATTAAAATATTTCAAAAGTTTTTTAAATATAGGAGCACTAATAGGATAAGTTGTAGAAGTAGGTCAAATTGCATTTACATAAGTGGGTATAATATTAGTTATTACATGGATAAGTATTATATTTACCTTTCACTATAAGGAACACGGTATCTGATATCTTTCCAAACTGATTTGCAGCCTCACACTCATATTCCGATTCATCATATTCTTGAACATCCTGAAACAACATGTTAAATACCTGTAATAGCATGTTAGATACCTGTAATAGCATGTTAAATATGTTAAATACCTGTAATAGCATGTTAAATACCTGTAATAGTAAGATAAAGTAAACCCTGAGGAAAACCTCCATTGGTGGAGCAATTTTCCTCTGTGACACATTAACAAATGATTTAAAGTACTTAGTGCAAATACATTTGAGTTGCCCAATTAACATTTTTTACATTCCAGTGTTTTTACTGCACCTACAAAATCTGATGTCTCAATTAAGATTCATTTCTACATGTAGTTGCATAAGTGACCATTTGATTAGTTGACCTTGCACTAACCTTAATCTCTAGATTGCCATCTGGATGAATGGTATATTTTCCCCCCGAATGGAGACGATTGGAATTTTTACGCCAGATTATTTCAGGCTTTGGCCAACCAATGGCAGTACATGAAATATTCTTATTCGTCCCTTCTGCTGATTTTGTATCCTCCATTTCTGATGACCAAATGGGAGCCTCAGCTGGAATATACAATTTAATATAAAACATTGAATATGGTAAAATACAGCACATCTCTCGACCAATCAGAATGCATATGTTCAATGAAGTGAATGATATTATTGAGTACCAACCTAGTACATTGAGGTAAGCATTTGCAGTGATCTGTCCATGTTTGTTTTTAGCTTTACATTGTAGCACTGCCGTGTCATCCTTCTGTAGGTCTCTAAACACCAGCATAGAACCATCGTCACTCAGGAGGTCAGGGTCATACTCTGAAACATAGAATATCAGGTTTAAATGCAGAATTTTGCAAGAGGATTCTAAGTTCAATGGTTTTTAGGTGGGTGGAAACCTAATTTTGAAATCTCAAGTGGGTTCATCGCAACTAAAATATATTTAACAGCAGCAATGTTTTTACTCTTAAAGGTGTACTATTCTTAATTTAGAAAAAAAAAATCATTGAAACATGTTACTCACACACTTGCTCAAATATGACACAAAGTTTGATTTGCTTTAATACTGAACCAAGAAAGAATAACTCACATAGAAAAAAGCATTTGAAGCTAATTAGAGATCATTAGACATGCATGCATATGTTAAACAAAGTGCAAGTTTTAAATTACTATTGATTTAAAATATGGTGACCTTTCTATAAAAATGAATGTATCATGTAATACAAACAACTTTGCCATCTTTCAATGACATTGATAAAAACTTGATATATAAAGCTTGAGAGATCGAAAAAAAGATTTTGGATAATTTATTGCAAGCTTTGATGTGGTCCATATGAGCTGTTGTTGGTGTCAAATGAAAGATAAGATTCTTATCAATACATTGGACATACTATGAAATTTAAATGTAAGTCTTTATTTTGCACAAAATGTTGAAAATTCCCAAAGTGGGCCTTTAAATCAGATACGAAAACATGGTTTAACCTACAAATCAGCCTTGTGTTTACTATTTAGTGCTGCATACAATGCAACCAGTCCATGATCTCACTTATAACATGATGGTTTGACATGTTTAAAACTTATGATCAGAAATCTGTGAAACTGCTCACCTTCTATTGGTTGCCCGTTGACAAACCACTCTACACTGGGCATAGGTTGTCCATTTCCAACACAAAGGAATGACTTGTCTTCTCCCATAGATATATCTGTGTTTTCTGGTCGAGTATCAAAGAACGGGAGTGCTAGAAACAAGTGTTACACTTAAATTTAGTTATTCACATTTTTTAAGAAATCCCATAATTCTAATTGATTTTAATAGCAGTTTTAATTTGTTTGTGGATGGACAGACCATAGATGGATGGAGGCATACCCAGTCCCAAATCCTCATTGCGTGAGTCAAAAGCAACATGTATACTCACAATCCACAACGAGAAGATGTTCTTCGGTGATATCAGTGAACGCTGCAGCATTCTTAGCACTACATTTGTATTTGCCAGCATCTTCAAACTGAGCGTTCTTAATTATCAACTCCTGACCAAATGAGGCAACCTCGGAATTTGATGGCATTTGACGTCCGTCATCTCTGGACCATGTCACAACTGGTGTGGGGCTGAAATACATTAATTTAAAAGTTATACATTTTGATTCACTTTCTCTTTCACTCCAGACTGACAAGAAATGAGATGGCTATCATGATGCATTATATTATTGATTTATAAAACTGGAATTTAATAATTCATAAACCTGAAAATGTGACTTCGTTGAGTCAGAAATAAATAAAATTTTGTTTCATCATTTCTGAATAATCTTCAGTCCATAGGTTATTTGCTTTTTGTATGATTTTGTGACTTATGTAATAGGTTCCTTATCTTTTGTATTGAACCAAATGCTATTGACAACTTTTTCTTATTTATTAATTTGACAAATATTTTTTTTATTTTTTTTCGTGCCAGATACACTGGATGCACCATATACTAATGAGTGGGAATGCTTTCAGATATAAGGCTTAGGGTCCATGACCCTTTTTCCCCTAACCCTGAATATAGTGTTTATGTTACATCAAACTTATTATGAAATGCTCCATAAGGGTTGAATCTCTCCACTTACTATCCTGCAAAGATGCACTTCATGTAGATATCCTTCCCTTGCATGCCTATCTGGGGAGACTGATTCTTCCACATCAACCTAGGAGGTTCTTCTGGGATATCATCTCCTGTAAGTGTACAGACAGCATCATATAATTAAGGGTTATGTACTGGGAGGTTTTGGATACAGGGTTTATCCTGATCGAGGGAAATGTACCTATATGAGACATCATCATACACATTAATTTGTATAACAACAATCAAGGTGTGACATAAACACTAGCCTTTACGCTTAGAGTCAGTTAGTTTTGTGTACAAAATCGAGGAAAACTTTTCTAATCTGAACACCAATGGAACCAGCCAAAATAGTTCTGATAGGCAGGGAATTCCATGGTATATTAAATTAAAAATGGGACTGAAAAATAATTCATTGTACTGTATTGTATTGTAGAATTTTATTAAAGTGTCATGGGTTATATAATAAATACATGTATAAAACAATTACATCATATATAAAATATCACTAAAATATACAATTAACAATTCATGCTGAGAGGTTTTCTGATTAGAGAGGTGATCTGATATACAGGTTTAACTGTATCTACTTACTGTGCTTTGGATGTATGGTTTGGTCATCTCCCTGGACATAGGATCTCAAACGTAAGTTGTTAACCGTACACATATAAGATTCTCCCTCCTTCTTGTCATCTTGGATTACATTAGCAAAGTAGAGATTACCTGGAACATACAGTATTTATACAATACCCTTAATTTCAAGAGAATGAACTTTTGTGCATAAAAGTACATCTAGTTGAGCCAGTCATCTGAAACTTATTGTGGAGTTGTTCCATGCAGTCTAGTTTTGATGTGCTAAAGAAAAAGACAGACATCATGTAGAGAAAAAAGTGATGCAACAAACATCATGTGGATGTTAAAGCTAAGGAGGGGAGAACATATTTATTTGACACCCTGTATATGTCGAAATGAACATGTCATGCTTTACCCATGTAATAACAGGGTTTATAGTATATAGAATACAGCAAATGCATATGAATAACATAGTGTTTATAGAATGAAACAATTGTGGGGGATCACACTTGACAACTTTGGCCCAAAATCACTTGAAAATGGTTAGAATGGTGAAACAAACTGTGTGGTTTTGAAAGAATTTTTTGACAGGGGGATTCACTCACACTAATGTATCTTTCAATAAGGAAGGACCAATATAGACTAATAAGGAAATCTTTCAATTAGGAAGGACCAATATAGACTAATAAGAAAATCTTTCAATAAGGAAGGGCATTCAACTTAAGCACTTACCATTGTGATCCTGTGTTACTCTGTCACTTAGTTCGACGGTATTGATCGCTTCCTCACTATCAGAGTCTAGAGCCCAGAATATTCTGCCATCAGGGTACCCTGCTGGGGGTTGACAATTCAAGATCAAGGACTGCCCTAGCAAAGGTCTGTTAGTCACTGGGGCGTCTTTCTTTGGAAATGGATCTTGGGCTGAAAATATAGAGGAATATGATACTGTCATATTTACATGAGACATTGTTGTTGGTCTCCTTATGATACTTTCGTTTCACCTAATAGTCTCTCTGTGCTATCACTTGTTCTGCATTTTCAATTTAAAACTTATTATTTTATTTTCACCTTTTCATTAAAATTAATGAGGAATCAGTTATTTACAATATTTTTGAAAATTAGCTTGTAACACACCAACGCAGTGTTAGCTTTCCTTTTAATGAAATATTCAAAAACAAGAACTGACCTGCCTCTTTGAGTACAGCCTTATTACTGATTGCGCTGCCAAAGTGGTTCTTGGCAAAGCACTGATAAGTGCCATGGTCGTAAGATGCAGGACTATTAATGGTAAGAGTGCCGCTACCATCACGCATTGTGTAACGATCACCCGTCATGGAGAGCTTGACACCATCCTTCTCCCAGGTGAACCTAGACAAAGGAGAATAAAGAAAAGGAAATGTAGTAGGCAAAACAAAAGGCTCATATTAGACCAAATCCCAAAATCAAGAGGCATTTGGATCAAAGCAACACATGAAATCACCTTGTCTCGCACTTCCGAAACAAAGATTACACAAAGCTTAAACATTCTGCGATGTTTTGTATCTAACAATGTCAGTTATATTGAGGAATACAGAATGGCTCTGTAAACAATTCAGGGCTGCTGATTTCATGGTCCAAGTTATAATGATTCTTAATGATCTTAAAATCTCCATGATCCAACAACATGCACACCTGAATGAATTCTACCATATTACAAATTCATAGAAAAGTGTGATGGGACTTACTCTGGGGTTGGGTTCCCTGTAGCTTCACAATGTAGCTTTACTTCTTGATTCTTCTTATAAGCAGACTCTTTTACTGGCTCTCTGGTAAAACTGGGGGGACTGGTAACTGAAGTGGAAAATGCATACATTATACAGGGTGTCCCTCATAAGTAGGCTCTGAAGAGCTTCATATCAATCTGATATCAACATCATTTTTTCAGATATATACTATCAAATCTATGTGTGATAAAGTAGGATTAGATCTTTCATGATAAGTGCAGTTTCATATCATGCACAGATAGAAAACTAAAGTAGAGTGATGAAAAGTATTCAGGCCCGTAGCCAGAATTTTCCAAGGGGGGTTCACTTTTCCAAAAAATTCTGGGGGGGTTCACTTTGGCAAATTTGGCCAAAAATCACTCAAAAAATAGTCAGAATGGTGAAAAACTGCATGATTTTGAAAGAAATTTTGGCCAGGGGGGTTCACCCGAACCCCCCAAACCCCCCTGGCTACAGGCCTGACTGTATACAGTACAACATGTCACACTATATTCATAAAAATAATATAATAATTATAATTGGTTTAACACTTTCAGCACTTTTTGCATATAAGAAGTCATATAACCACCAGTGTCAGACCATGTTAATACGTATAAAGGTCCTGCCATAATTGAAGAATAATGTTCGAAAAATGTATTTGTGTGTAATTAGGTAATGAGGTTATAGTAATTGTATAATATAATTACAATAATTTTAGATTATTACCAATAATTTCATACTGACACAATGTTAACATATTTGGCTGCATTAGTTTCCTATATCATCATATTGGATTCTAAGGACACATATTTTTAAGTGTCCTAGAAATTCATTTATTAAAAGTTAAGGTTTTTATAAAAATGTGCTCTAAATGTGTCAACTGATGTGTGAAAATGCATGTTGAACTTAAACAAGCATCAATTTCCCCTTACAATGTATGCTTGATCCAGTACTACTTGATAAAAAGACACTGACATTGAAAGACATTGAAAGAATAATATTTGTTTCTCCAATGAATAATATGTTGTTTCCGGGATGTTGTCTATTAAACAGTATTTTTAGGAAAATCAGTTTCAGTTTACTAATTTTCACTCAATATATCCCATGCTAATTAAAATTATCCGCAAATTAAAAAAGACACAGAAATTTATTTTTTTGGATATGATGGTCATTCTACAAATAAGGAACTATATCTTACATAACAGAATGCAATTCTGAAATTGTAACAAATTAAATTGAAAAAATTACAAGATTTTGGAAGACTGGCTTAGGGCCAGGAAAATCATCTCTGAGATGAGATCACACTCCTATACTATAAACAACAGCTTCAAGAAATAAGGTAATCATAAAATAATGAATTCAGGAGACATGCCCCATTCAGATAATTTTGAATATTTGACAGTTTGATTACCATTGATGTTAAATTGAAAAAAGGAGTGAAGACCACCCGTTCAGATAACCTCCAATTAATTTTGATAGGACTATCACCAAAAAGAAACAGAATACAAATAGTTCAAGATAAATATTCTTAGTTTTGTAGTAAGATGAAAACTGGACAAGTAAGTGCCTCACTAGATTTTTCAGAAAAAAATGTTTTCAGAGGTTTCCAATGAAGAAAATACTATTTAGTGAAATTTAAGTCCAACATTAGTATTTATATCCCCTATAACTCAAACTGGCCCCACCAACTTAACCTTGCCTTCACTTGTTTTCAGATCATGACTAAATGTCTGACACACCTTCCCCACTCCCCCAATCCCCCTAAGCATACTCACAAGCAGCATGTAGGGCAGTGATACTAAGCAGCAGTAAAGTTCCAATGGTGGAGATATCTAAATAATCTAATCCCCTCATCTTGTTCAGTTAGTCTGCAAATATACAAAAAATGCATGTTGGTTACTCTATGTATGTTATAACTAAAACAAGTATGTAAAATAAGCATTCAGGCGGGTAATTCACATTTTCATGAACTTACCACATATAACTAATTTTTAAAGTATATTTTCACGATCCACTATCCCTGCGGCAATCAATTTCATGGCATAAATCATGAAACGCTCACAGAGATTAATGATGTAGTGGTGGTGTTATAATCCTTTTGACTGTTGATAAACTGTTAGATTCCCAGCTATTAATAGTAAAAAGTTAATTAATTTTCTAAAAACTATGTTCATATCCTCGATTCTCGATTCTTCATTCTCCTCATTTTTTGCTTTAGTTGCAGTTCCTGGTAAAAGTTTATATTACAGTACTTTACTTATAAGGCCCTACATTTGTTATTGTCACATCGATTCAGTTTTGTTTAAAAAGTAACTTGTAAAAAGCATATAATCTACTTATAAATCATCAAAAATGGGTGAATGAGACAGAACATATGGACCACATCCTTTGCTAAAGTCAGATTAAGCATGCCCATATAGCATAAGTCAATATCCTTCAAAAACTTGCAAACATAATATGAGACAACATTCTCTTTCCTCAAGACTCATTGCTTAGTCATCTCCTGTCTGGATCACTGCATCTTACTCTTTGCAAAAGCCCTTACTGCATCTAAACTCTTTCAATAAGAGATACACTAAAACCTCTCTTAGTGAGCACCTCTCTCTAATGAACAACTGTCTTCAGTAGACAACCTTCCTCCACATAAACTCTAATGACTTCTGTATATAAATTACCATCCATGTAGTGAACACCTACCAACACTGAAAAATGTTCAATATACGCATGTTTTACTGTAGTTCTTTGATATAGCCTACATCCAATCACCGATTTAACAAGAAGATCATGGCAGTACATCTAATAATATAGGTAACATTCTAGTCTAGCTACAAGCCTTAGTCCCCCCCCCCCACTACGCACCTTCTTTATGAGAATTTGTCATACCTGTGTAGTTAAGTAGTAGGAGGGAGTCAAAAAGGAGTTTACCGAAACTACTAAAATACATTTTACATTTAAACTCTCATTAAAGGCCAAGGCTTCATTTCAGATTATTAAGATCAAGTTAAAACCCTAGCACATCATCTGTAATATAACTGTACCTACAGGTATCCCATAATTGGAGGCTATTACTTTCATTGGCCATACACCTTGACATAAGTCTTGCATGTTTATTAGTAGAGACTCAAAAAATGTCAGTTTGAATTTTAAATGATGAGCTACTTCTGAAAAGTTTTGACAACATAAAGTTCATTATAATACACACACACAACAATTACTGCTTTATGTTCAACATTATGTTTTATATTTCTGACACACAATTTATAAATATATCAAAAATCCTTTTATAAAGTATTTTTTGTATAATTTACCGCTATTTTGCTCTTTATTTTCACATCATAATTTTCAGCCTTGGGCATTTACAATTTTTGATATTCTGACACAGAAAGGCACAATGTGTAACAATCCATAAAATGGTTCAAACAAATTAATTACCCCTATACATGTGACAAAATTGAAAGAAATTCTTATTTTTATTCAAAACCTACATGCATGTCCTGTTAATGTATAGTAAAAAGCAAATAAACTTTGACATAAGTCTGTTTCACTTGATATAGTGACTTAAACATTCACCTTTCTAGTAAGTTTTTGTGTGGCCCTTTAAATTCCTAGTTGCCTTTCAAGGTAAAGATTAAAAGGTGGATTGGATCAAGTGGATTGGATTCATGTAAAAGGTGGATTGGATCGGAAATCTTCAAAATATGGATTTTCCTTAAAAATTCTATTGATCTCCCTCTAAGAAGATTGGTGCTCTGCTCACTTCCAGAATGTCAAATAATGGATGAAAATATTATTTTGCTTGGATGGGCTAGAAGGATGACCTGGTACCCACTTTCTGATACACAACCTTATTCATTCCAAGTGTAATTTGAGACATTTCATGAATCATAAGGCAGACTCGACTGATTTGGAGATCTATATCATCTGTTACAGTCCAAACAGAACATAGCAGAGATGTTTTGTGAATATTCACACATCAATTTGAATGACTGCTTTTATCTACAGATCTATGTTTATTTTGTCTGATAAAAGTTGATTTACAAGGGAAAGCAGTAAAATACTTAAAGAGTATCTATCTAATTGGAGTATATATATTTTGTTGCTTTGTTCTGATTCCTCAAAGAGACCCAAGTGATCACCAAATAATTTCCATTGGAAAATTGCCTAGAGCTAGAGGGAGATCAACAGAAAGAATCTAAAAGAAATTCCATATTTTGAAGATTCCCGATCCAATCCACCTTTTACATGAATCCAATCCACTCGATCCAATCCACCTTTTAATCTCTACCCCTTTCAAAGGTAAAACCTGGCGTTTTTTAGAAAATGAAATGTATAATAACAAACTAGCACAGCTGTTTGACATTCAAATTGCAAATAAAAATAAAGTAAATATTGGCTGAAACATGTGTGAAAGAAATGAATGAATGGGGTAGCTAGTCTCAAAGTAGTTGCAAGCATTCAAGTTTATAAACTAGATTAATTACAGTATATGTATCTATCAATATGCCAGTTATTCTAAATATTATTTCATATCAATAAATATTATTCTAAATATGTTCATAATTTGATACAATCTAACCCTAAAACTTATAAATATTGGTCGAAGCAATCCTTTGAGCAAAATAACATTTTACATGTATAGGAATGGGTCTTGTAGAAGTGGCAATGATCTCATCCTTTATCTTGGTTTTAATGTTTATTAGTTGTAGGAAAAGATGGATTGCATAAATAAATGGGTGATTCCATAGAGTCACTATATGTCTGTCAAAAGATGGTTATATAAATAATATCAACTACTATACAAATACTATTTAAAATTTTAAATAACCTTGTAAATATTGGAATGAAATGTCTACCAGCTCCTAACTCATAGAATAAAAATATAATAGTGTAGGAAAAGATTCTGTTCTCATTAAAAGTTCAGTACTTACATTTTCAAAATGCAAACTATATATCCTAGTAATCTCCTTGGAGTAATACTCTCTATTCCTCAAATCATGTCTCCAGTATCTCCTTTTTTACAAATAAATAGTCTCTCTGTTTTTTCTACGTACTACATATTTGCGGTTTTACTGTCATTCAGATGACAAGTTAATTACTGCTAAAGATCCTATAAACTTTGAAAAGATCTGAAGAAAATTGATCTAAATTAGAATCCTATACCACTTGACAAATTTGAACACTGTAATGGTTTTATCTGAGCACACGTTTTAAGCTGTTATAGTATCTGTAACAGATTCTCACCTAGTTTATTTGATTTACGTGCAAACCCGCTTTTTACATTATTGAACTTCAATAAAGAATTTACACAAGCTCTTTGCTTTCTTATATGAAGTGAAAAAAATAATTAAAACTTCTGAGGAGCTAGACAGTACCATATGATTAAATCATTGGGTGAATTTAGTGTTTATTCCAAAAGAACACCTTTGACATATAACTAGATAAATATAATGAAGACATGCAAAACAGTACACAGCTGAACAATTTCTGAAATTGGTTGAAAATATTGGTGTGTTTTGTTTGACAACATATTATTGGGGAATACAGTATAATTGTATGTTTAACTAAATGAATAACAAAAATCCTTTTGAATATCAAAGTAACTGCATATCTGATTAATCATTGATTTCATTTTTATTTTAAATCCAGAGATGATTCATTTATAGTTTGGTTGGATATAAAGATGGCAGCAGGATCAACAAGATGAAGTAACATTGAAAATGACAACCCAAAATCCTAGATGGCTTGCAGTTTTAAAAACATAGCACAATTTAATCCATTAATACATATTGCTTTAATATTATAGTTTTTTTTAGAATAGAACATAATAAGAACAGACCAAGATCCACTGGCAGATCCAGACACTAACAATGTTTCGAAAAGGCAAAATTTAGGGCCCCTGACACCAAAAATTGGGCCCAAATTTTAAAAAATTGAGGCCCATTTTTGAAAATTTGGCCTAACCCAAAGAGGCCCACTTTTTGAAGCGCCCCATGGATCCGCCAGTGAGATATCCCAACAATTGTTCATTGATCTCTCATAGACAGACTACTGTAGGCTGTATTATGATAAATGCAATTACAACAAAGATAATCTGAAACACCTGGCTTAATAATTGGAAGCTAATACTAAACTATAAACAAGGTAACTACAATACTATGAATTCTGACAGAACATAATTAAAATGGTTGATGCAATAATAAATAATTCATTGGAGTGACCATCTAATTCTTACTTCAAGATTTGTAGATTCATCTACACATTACAATTTTGAAATACTGACTATACCTGTAGACCTCTGATGTAATATCAGAGTCTCTCTATTTATGTTATATCTCTTCCTCTGAGGAACCTATTAATACACAAAGGGCAACATTTGAAGGCACATAACACAAAATGCCTTGGTGAACATAGAAAACAGGGGTAAACACATCCTCATATATGGCAACTCAATTATGAGCAAAATGCGGCTTGTATTCAGGAACCACTGGCGGATCTGGGGGGATCCCCCTTGGATGGGCCCAGAAAAAGTTGGGCCTTTTAAGGCCTTTTTTTTTATTTTAGGCCAAATTTTGATTTTTATTAAATCTGAAATTTGGGCACCCCTTGTTGGTTCCCAGAGTCGCCCCTGGGAACTACTCTTCACTGTCATTTCAATGACTATTTCATTATTCACATCTAGCTTTTGACATTTTCCAGAGGAAATGAACTCATAATATGATTGCTCTCTTGTTTCTGGCATTATGCAAGTATACATCACTTGGATTAGCGATGCTGCTGATGTACACCATGGATTGATTAATCTATTATGTGAAACTTTATCCCAAAACAACCTACACAAATGACCTGTTGAGATCCATTTATCAAATAC